TTGAACTTTATGTTTTTCTAAGACCAAATTATTCAACTTGAGCCTCAATTTTGGGTTTGACGATTCTTAGGCATTTCCATAATTTAATTCCCTGTGCTGTCTAGGTTCATTATTCTAATTTCTGATCTTACACCTATTCAAATTACTTTTTTCACAATATTTTATCTATACTTTAATACCTCATTAAAATTTGACCTCTGCAAGAAGCTCTTTCCTGCATTTCTACTGTTTTTGCATGACATCATTTAAGAGATCTGGTCTGCCTGACTTTAGCCTTGGGCTGTTGTAAAAAAGTGTCGTCCCAAAGCTCTGGTATCCTCCTAGTGTCTGGCGCCGTGCTGGGCACAAAATGGACCAGACGCTTATTTGGTTTCCATTAACAGCAGACACCTGCCCCTGCCATTGACTGAATTACCTATTTCCACATGCTCCACACCTGGCCAGGTGGCCTCCCATCACAGTTCCCGTCCTTCACCATTTGACCTCAGGGCAGCCTTAAATTCTGTGTCTGTACATTCCCTCTATAGCTAATTGAGGCGTTCCTAAACCCCAGGCACCATTTAGCCCTTTACATATATGGTTGGCTCATAAATACCCCTGAGAGGTAGGATTGTTCCCACCCCATGACAAATGAGGAAACTGAGGCACAGGTGAGGCTGCCAGTTTCCCCAACCACTCAGATGGGGTGTGGAGGGGCAGATGACAGAACCGGGGACCACAAACCCTCAAGGACAGCAGCAGCAGCAGCAGCCTCTGTATGGGCGGTGTTGGTTTTGTGTGTCTGCTGCTTGTTAGGGGACAAGCCTGTCTGTCGCTGCTGTCTGTGTGTCTCGTGCAATGCATCATTCATTGCACGGAGACCCTATTTTGAGGTCTAGCTGAAGTTTCACCATGTTCCTGAGCTGCTCTAACCCGACTTCAGAGCCGTCTGCATCTCAGTCCCATGATCTCACTCCAGAGACAAAAACAAACCCTGTGAAGTGGGCAGCCATTGGCCATGACTGCAAAGTGTAACAATGTTGTTATCATTATCCACTAATGCCAGAGCAAAGACATTGCTGTTCACTTTTATTACTATTATACATCAAAGATACAGTGTTTTCCACGCATGTGCATTTAGTTCTTAAGTAAATATTTGTCGATTACATCATTGGCTCTTCACAGAAGTGGATCCCGACTAAACACTGCATTGTAAGAGAAATGGCATCATTTCTTAGCCTATTTTCTCTTTAGAAAAGAAGACAGAGATTTGAATTTGGGTGACACACATAGTAAAATGGATGTTTTCTTTTTAACAACCAAATCGTACTCGAATTACAAAATCCTCCAGGCATTCTCTGTTAATGCAAACACAGGAGGAAGATTTCTGCTCTCCGAATACATAAAATGTCTTCCCATTCCCATGATCCTGGAGCCTCTCTCACAGTGTCAGCTGTGGACCGTGGGTTTTGCAGAACGGGGATTCAGGCACTGTGATCTCAGCCAGTGAGGAGGTCAGATCAGGGCCCCAGGTTTGCCTGGTGGACCTTCTGAGTGGAAAGCAGTCTGTGATTTGTTACAGAGCAGGAGAGCCGCCTCTGGGAACCAGTGTGTGGCCCGGGTGCCACAGCAGCCTCGTGACCCCTGCCTCTCTTCACTGGCTTGTTCTCTGGCTCGGTCAGAGCCAATGACTTAGTGGCATTGCAATTTTCTTAAACTTGCCAGAACTTTCTGGAATATACTTAAAGAAAGCCATCACTCTGCTTCTTGTTAGCTGGCATTCATTAGAGGCTTTGTGTCAGAGCTGGAAGCCATGAGTCACACTTGCTGATACAAGGGGAGATCTCAGCAGGAGGAACAGGCCTCGTGGTGCCCGCGCGCTTCCTGGAATTGTGCTGTAAGTGAAATGAGATGCTGGTGCCTAGGTGGCCAGAGCTCAGCCCACATGGACTCCTCTCACACTTCGTCTACACTCAGAAATCTCCAAGCAGGCACAGGCCAGGTGCAGTTCACTTTCTCCAGCCCTATCTCCCCAGGCAGCCCCGGAGGCGGTGGCAGTGGCAGTGGACTCCCAACTTCATGAGTCCACTGGAGCATGGAGATGTGGCGTGAAAACATGTCACACTCCTGGAGACATGCATGAAGCCTCCTGGTAGCTTCAGAGTGTCTGCGGCCACCGGTCCTTTGAGATTTTAAGGAAAACAGCGGGTTCTCAGCTATCTCCCCCGACACAGTATTCTGAAAATCAAGCCGGAGCACGCGCAGGCCCTCAGCACCATTCAGAGCATCATTGTGAGGGTCAGTTGCTGACCCAGGGCACATCAGTTCCTGGAGGCTGAGTTACACTAACCTTGCCTCTGTTCCCGACATTCCTTGGTGTGGAATCTGGAATGGATCATGGAGAGAGAGGAGATGAGAGCTGGAAGTTTAATGCCCATTCCTTCAACTCTGGACACGGGAAATATAGGCTACACAGATAACACACTTTTCACCACAGGGATGTTCACAGGACGGCCACACGCCTCGTGTCAAGGGTTAGACCACAGGCTTGGAGCTGTGTATTCACGGTGGCGACCAAGAAGGAAGAGATGGAGTTAATGCAACTGGAAACTCCCCCTTAGCAGTTGACATTAGACCCTATCTTGCAGAGGTGCTGAGGGACTAGCTGCCTTTGAAGCCTGGTGCACGCATCTCCCAAGGCTACCACAACCGAGCACCGCAGACCAGGCAGCCTCAACAGTGGGAGCAAATGTTCTCACACTCCCTGGGGCTGGACATCCTGATCAAGCTGTTGGTTCCTCTTGAGGTCTCTCTTCTTGTCTGGTAGACACCATCTTCTCCCGTCATCTTCACACCATCATCCTCTGTGTCCCCACCTCGTCTTCTTACAAGGACACCAGTCAGATCAGACAGGAGCCCATGCTAGTGACCCTGTTTTAACTCAGTTAACGCGGGAAAGACCCCATCACCACAGTGCTCACCTTCCCATGAGGTTCAGACTTCAACACAGGAAAACTGGAGACACAACTTATTCCTTAACTGTGTGTGTGTGTGTGTGTGTGTGTGTGTGCATACTCTTACTAAATCTTCAAAAAACTTTATTCAGTTGAAGAATTTGGGAAAATACTTCTAGGCCATACATGGTCTTAAACTGTCATTTAAACAGACCCCCCCCCCCCTCGTTCCTGCCCTGCACACACAGGGCTCTCATCTCTGAGGGTCTTCTCCACAGACACCTCCCACATCCACAAAAGGAGATACCCAAGCTAGACGGTTCCCTGGCACCCTTTAGAGAAGGACAGAAACAGGACGGAGGAGGAGGGCTGTGGATAGGCCTGAGTCACTTCATCACAGATACGTCTTTAGAAAACCCTATGGATTGACTTCTTGGTGTAAATGATAAATGGCCTTTGAGAAAAGTTGGAAAATACAGACAAAATATAACAGAGGAAATAAAAATACATGTGTTAGGTAAGCTCAGCTGTAACAACTGCTCAGTTATTTTGGGGTGGGAGGTACCCCCAGCCCTCATTGCTGTGGGAACGTGAGTAGCTATTCCCTGTGTTTGAAAAATCAATATGCAATTATATCTGCGTGGGGGTGAACAGGCTGCCCACTCAGTGTTAGAGCTTGCCTTTTTTTCACCTAGCCTTCCCAATAATTAAAAATAATTCAAAACTTTAATTTTTAGCAACTACATAATATTTTATCTTAACAATATGCCAAAACTATTTAGTCGTTCTCTTTGTGTTGACTATTTCTGATATTAACAGTTCCGTGTAGCTAGAACAAACATTATTGCCCATAAATCTTCATAGGTAGTCATGTTATTTATTAGGATATATTCCTAGAAATGGAGTTACCCGATGAAGGGGCATGGATAATTTTAGATCTATTGGTACAAATTAGAACATCAGTTTTTTGGAAATTCTGCACCAAGTTAGACCCCTACTAGGAGTGAATGAGACTGCCCATCTACCAAAAATTTTGGCAGCAATGGGCAGTTTTATTAAAACAAAACAAAACAAAACACACACACACACAGAGAAAGAGAGAATAAAGGGTTGCACCCTTTGTTAGGCAAGAAGAAGACAAAATAACATCTCAATGTTGTAGAACTCGAGTTTCCTTTCCTTACTGGTGAGGTTGAGGAACTTTTTATTCATTTCTCATTTTCTGTGTGTAATCACTGGGCTACCTTTCCGCTTCAAACAGTGTGCCTATAATCTTTGTGGCACGTAGTTTCCCAGTTTTTTATGTATAATACCTTTTAGTTATTTGACAATAATGGTTTTTAGACTTAAGCTTTTTACTTTACCTCAGTGTATGAAATCTCAGGATGCACAAGGCTTTCTCTTGGCTGCTCTTGTGGCCGAGCTCAGTGGCTGTTGACTGCACGAGCGGCCAGGACCAGCACTAAGGAAAGTTGCAACCAGGAGAAGGCCAGTGCTTTGGTGATATTGCTGCTGATCCTGAATAGTAACACTATTGTTACTGCTGAGAGAGACATACTTGAGACTGGGCAATTTACAAAGGAAAGAGGTGTAATGGATTTATAATTCCAAAACCCAAATGTCTGTGTTTTGTTTCATAATTTCTTCCATTAATTATCTGCTTAGAAAGTCTTTTTTTCTTCTTCACATCCATTAAATGTTCCACTTTCCAAAAAAAAATTGTTATGTTTAATGCTTTAGCTGTCTACATTTTCTATTTAATTCTTCTTCAGTTTATTTTTGCATATGGCATGAATTAAGGATGTTAATTTATTCCCCCCCCAGCCAAATCTACAAATTTTTCAACATCATTTATTGAATTAATCGTCCTTCTATTGTTACTCACTAAGTTTTTCTCTGTTAGCATTTGCTTCTGGGAAAACGAACCTTTTCCGATGATTAAGCTCTTTATTCTTCTGCCAATATCGCAGAATGCTAATTCCTGTAGATCTAGTAGTGCTACCTCTCCCTCATGACTCACTCGTATTTTTTCTTTTTAAAACATTTTTCCTTGGAAACTTGTGTTTCTTCATGAGTCATTCAATCATTTGTGAGACTGTAGCCATCTGACCGTGGATGAGAAGAATTCAGACCCAATGCCAGTGAGGAGGAGCTGGTGAAAAATGAAGATAATTCTGGGAAGAGACTGCAGCCCTGGGCTGTGAGGTGGACCTGGGCTGAAGTCACAGGTGGAAGGAGCTTGCTGGAACCTCTGGTCAGTGGGGCGGCATGGGGGACTGGGCCCACAGCACGGTGCTTCATGAACCTTGCATGCATGCTTCCTGGCCACTCTCGCAGGATAGTCAGACTCTGTGAAACCGTCAGGCTCCTTAAACCCTGTTGAATCCCCGTGGTTGCCTCACTGAGATCTGGCTGTGTTCCCATCCAAATCTCATCTTAAATTGTAGCTCCCACAATTCCCACCTGTCATGGGAAGAACCTAGTGGGAGGTGGTTGAATTAGGGGGTGGGTCTTTCCTGTGCTGTTCTTGTGATAGTGGATGAGTCTCATGAGATCTGATGGTTTTAACAAGGGGAGTTTCCCTGCGTGAGCTCTCTTCTCTTCTCTTGTCTGCTGTCATGGGAGTTGTGCCTTTCACCTTCCACCATGAGGCCTCCCCAGCCAGGTGGAATTATAAATCCATTACACCTCTTTCCTTTGTAAATTGCCCAGTCTCAAGTATGTCTCTCTCAGCAGCATGAAAACAGACTAATACGCTGGCAATCTATCCCAGCTCTGCCCAACTCATATTCAACTCTGCAGCTGGGGAGCCCAACCTCAACACAGCCAAGGACAGGTGCCTCCCCTTTGGGTGATCCACGTGCCACACCCACGGAGTCTCCTGGACTCTGTGCTCACATACCTGGGTCCTCTGTGGGTCCCCATCCTCTCTGTGCTTGCTCCTGATGCCTTGTGCGTCTTCCACTGCTGTGGTTTGAATGGTTGTCTCTCTGAAATTCAAGCTGAAATGTAATCTTCAAAGCAGCCCTTTTTAGAAGGGCCCTGAAACGTTGATTAGGCCATAAGGACGTTGCCTGGAGGGATGAGATTTGTGCTGTAGAACAGGCTGGAGGAACTGGCTGTGTTCTTGTGTCATCCGGCCTTTCACCTTCCTCCATGTGAGGACACAGTGAGAACATGTCCCCTTCGAAGCCCTGACCAGACCCCAAGTCTAACTTGATTTAGACATCCCAGTCTCAGAGCTGTGAGGAGTGGATGCCGACTGCTCGTAAATTACCCAGTCTGTGGTTTCAGTGACAGCAGCCGGAACGCACAAGGACCTCATCCTCTCCATGACCAAATCTGGGCCCCTGTGGGCCCTCCACCCCTCTGTGCCCACATAAGGACACAGCCCAGGTTTCTGGTCCTGGACTGTCCCCCTGCTTCAGGCTCTGTAGTGGATGCCTGAGCAGGTGCCGCAGGACACCCGAGCATCTGCTGTCTCCAGGATCCCCTGCTCCCCTCCAGCACCCACCCCCCCCCCACTAAGATCCTTCAGAACTTTCCCACCACCTCCAGGAAGAGCAGTAAACTCTTCCCATGGCCTCAAGGGAAACTGGAAATTGGAGCCATTCAAAATTGGCTTCTTTCTCTTCCAAGTGGTCTTGAACAGACAGATAATCATGGCAACTCTCAGCTGAACGTGAACTTACAGAGCCTGCACGGGGTGGGGTACCCAAGGAGAAGGCACTCCTGGCTGTGCGTTTGTAGGATGTGTTGAAGGGGCAGAGGGAGCCTGGTTGACAGCTCCGATTCAGGCAGCAAGTCCAGCCCTGGGCAGCCTGGGAGCTACATATGCCCCCTGCCACAAGGGCCACTCTGCCCTCTGCCCCTGCCTTGATCTCCCGCCTCAGGGCCCCTGGAGCCCAGTATCAGCCCCTCCCCACCCGCTTCGCCCACTGTCTTTCCACCCTTCCTGCATGGTCCCTGCACAGCAGATCCCAACTACACAAGCTATACTCTTAATTTTGTATTCTGGATTCTTACTTCAGAGTCTGTATCAAAAGAAATCGCCACAGTGAGAAGGCAGATTCTATATATAAGAGACAAGTTTGTGTCTATGTGTTATATATATACATATAAAGGACTATGTACTATAAACAATACATTCACAAATACTGACAATCAACTGCACTTAGAAGATAGAAGTGTTCCATGTAAAAATAACAGCTTATTTCTGGCAGAAAACAAACAACTGATACTGATGTAACAACTGTTTTATGTAACTGAAATCTATTGATGAAATCATTTTAAAGTGGTCTCATGTTTTATAATTTAAGGGGGAATCCATTCATGTATAAATTTTTGATTTGTAAGGTCATCCTCAACTCTTTTGGAAAGAAGGTGGTTTTACTTAACTCCAAATTTCTTAAGTTTGAAGTCCATAAAAGTATTTCAATTAAGATAAAAACATGCATATTCGATTCATGAATTTTATGACAGCCTTGGGGCCATTGGAAATTGGCTTTTTTCTCTTCCAAGTGGTCTTGAACAGACAGATAATCATGAAAACTCTAAGCTGAATGTGAACTTACAGAGCACGCACGCGGTGGGGTACCCACGGAGAAGGCACCCTTGCCTGTGCGTTTGTAGGATGTGTTGAAGGGGCAGAGGGAGTCTGGTTGACAGCTCTGGTTCAGGCAACAAGTCCAGCCCTGGGCAGCCTCACCCAAGCCCCTGTGGACACAGGACTCATTGGGTCTGTTCAGCCCTTCTGCCTGGCCAGAAACAACCAAGTAACCCAAAGCCCCATCCGTAAGGTGTACGTGGAAAGAGTAATTCTGCTGCGAGCTGCCGCTTTCTACGGGGTTTGTCACCCTTTGCCTGTAGCTGCAAAGCTTCCAATTTTTCAAAAACCCTGCACTCCACATTTTCGTTTATCCTGAAACTAAATCAGTTTGGGGCTAAACATATTTTAAAATGTCAGCGTCCTTATTTGGTCCATGGGATGAGAAATGCAAGATTCTCAGAAAATGCCATGTTTAGTTTGGATGTTGTCCTGGAATGTGGAATGGAACAAATGCTAGATCCTCCTAGAGCGTTATGAAGGGTAAAAGAGAGAGGGCAAAGAAAACAGCTGGTAAACTCTGATACACTCGAGTTCACTGAGTTACATGATCATTACTATTTATCACCATCCTTATCATAATCTTCACATTGTATGGTAGCCGATATATTAAATTTAGAAGATAGGAAATCTGAAAACATAAGATCTTTTTCAGAGCACCCAAACTGAAAAGCCTGTACAAATACCCCAATTAAAAACAGGAAGAAGAAAACAATTAACCACTCTTCATTGCAGTTATTGAACCACTTGAAGGGCTGAGATGTAGAGAGATCAGTCCGAAGCCCTCCAACCTAGAACCCGCATTAAGTGATGGCTCTTGGCTGACCAAACAGACACCTTCAGCTCTCCTTTCCCTTTCTCTTCTGCTTTGGGACCATCCAAGGAGCAAAACCTCACCATGTGCTTATCTCTGCACAGGATGTTGGTTGGCCTGAGTGAAAATGGCACATGAATCGGTGCTATCTGCTGGACCATGGCTGAACCTAGGCTTAGAAGAGGCCTCCAGCCTGGCCACAGGAGGCCAGGAGGATGCTGAGGCACGCAGATGTCACTCAATTTATAACAGCAAGATTCTTTTTTCTAGTATCATGATCAACCCAATGTCCAGAATCTATTAGGCTTGGTTCCCCTTGAAATATTTTCAAGTAAAAGAGAAGAAAAAAGTATTTCTGCATAGGTGTGTACTGGAAGTTGCTTTTGTTGCCTTTTGTGACTTGAAGCAGCTTTGTTTAGGAGATGTCACCATTGTAAGCCTCTTAAGCTTGACAAAAAGGCAAATTAGCACCATTTCTCATTGGTTAACATGGGACTCTCCCCATCCCTCTATGAGAGAATCTCTTTATTGGGAAAATGGGGACAGAGATGAAACGCAGCACTAAATGAGTTGGGAGCTCCTGAGTGTGGGTGAAGATCCTCTTCTGGGCTAGCAGGTGTTTCCAGGGGTTTATGCACATCCCTCCCTCGTGTGGCCAGAGGGCCAGGGGTGGGGGTCTGCCTGCCAGACCTGGAGGGAAACCTTCACAGTTACCACCAGCAAGAAGGGACGTCCCAGGCAGAATAACCATGAGGAAAGGTGGATGGGTGGAGTTGGTGGAAATTGAGGGGATGGGGAGCAAAATAACTGGAGCAAAGGAAACCAAAGTGAGTAAAGGTAATCAGGAGAAAAATCACTCTGTGAGGCAGACATCCGGAGTGAGTAATTTCTTTCTTTTATTTACTTATTCTTAATTGAAAAATAAAAGTATATATTTAAGGTATACCATATGATCATTTGATTTATGTGTACATTGTGGGAAGGCTGAATCAAGCTAATTAACACATGCATTACCTCACATACATGTCATTTTTTTTTTTTGTGGTGAGAACACTTAAAATCTACTCTGTTAGCAATTTTCAAGGACACAATACATATTTATTAACTATAGTCACGAGGCTGTACGAGAAACCTCTTAAATTTACTTCTCCTAACTGAAATTCTGTATCCTTTAACCAACATCTTCCCAATCTTCCCAGAATAAGTGATTTCTTAAAATAGAAACCATTACTTGTGACTGGCTGACTTGACCAGCAAGGATGAATGGATGAATGATTGAATTTGTCACTAACATAAGCAATGACAACTAAAGCCACCTCTCAGGTAATACAGGTATTGTAAACCTGGGCATGATCAAGTAACACCTGGCTCTCCGGAACCTCCTGTTCACATCATGTCTGCCCTACTGTGTGTTTACCCAGAGTTGGAATGCTACAGAGAGGTTAGAATTTTTTTTTTTTTTTTTTTTTTGAGACAGAGTCTCTCTGTGTTGCCCAGGTTGGAGTGCAGTAGAGCAATCTCAGCTCACTGCAACCTCCACCTCCTGCTTCAAGCGATTGTCTTGCCTCAGCCTCCCATAGAAGTTAGGTCTTTTTTTTTTTTTTTTTTTTTTTTGAGATGGAGTCTTGCTCTGTCGCCCAGGCTGGGGTGCAGTGGCGGGATCTCAGCTCACTGCAAGCTCCGCCTCCCGGGTTTACGCCATTCTCCTGCCTCAGCCTCCCGCGTAGCTGGGACTACAGGCGCCCGCCACCTCGTCCGGCCAGTTTTTTGTAATTTTTAGTAGAGAGGGGGTTTCACCGTGTTAGCCAGGATGGTCTTGATCTCCTGACCTCGT